GGAAAAGGACCTTTTAAGATGGATCTATCAAAGGCTACTATGCCTAGTAAAATAATAAAGAAAAAAAGTCCATTTATCAAAGTGGCTGCAGGTCTTGATCATTTTGGAGCTTTAAATAGCTCTGGTCAACTTTATGTATGGGGAAGCAATAAAAAAGATAGTATTTTTAACTTCCCTGAAGAAGTTTATTAACCAACTCCATTAGAAATCAAATTAAAAATTATTGATTTTGACATGGGTCCTTAGAATACTGGATTAATTATATAAGGAGAAAATAAGGTTAATTTGCCACTCCTTAATTTTGAACATTTCAAAACTGAGTAATATAAGGTGATTTCAGAAGAAGCTTCATTAATATAAACATATGTGAATAAAAAGAATGCTATAGAATATGAAAAGAAAAAAAGTGAAGCTACATCACCAATTATTTAAAGATAGGAACCATAAGATTTAAATAAATTAATTCGTAAAAATAAATCACTTAAAGGAAGTTAATCATCAATATTTCATAGTTCTACTTCAATAAATTAGAAATTAAATAATTAACTTAAATTTCCTATATTATTTGATGGTGTTCATGCAGAAGTGTAAAAAATGGAATAAGAAAGTTAATTATATATACCAATTCAATATTCGAATACAGATAGAGTGGGTAAGGATCCATCATAAGAATTTATTGAATTAGATGGTGTAATTTAAACAGATAATGATTAATTAAAATATGAATATATATAATTGGCTAGAGAAAAAGATGAAGAAGGACTTTTATTATCGATATTGAATTAAGTAGAGGAAAAGAAATAGGATTTACATTTGAAAATGCCAGAGAGAGTCTAAATCAATTAATTTAGAAACAAATTCAAGATAGTTAAGCCTATCTATCATGATAAATATGATTAATTTGATAAAAGCATTATACAAACTACAAAAGAATAGATTTAGTTACTACATTAAGAAAGAGCTAAGAAAGTTTTATAGAAAAAAAGATAAAGAGAATAGGAGTTTGAAAGAATAAGTTAAATTAGTTTATAATCAATCAAGCCACTTTTAAATAAAGAATAAATATTAGAATCGATAAAAACTAAAGCATAAGAAAATTAATAAAAAGCAAAATTAGTTAATCTTAAAAAAGAAGAAATTTAAATAGAAAGAGCTAATTATTTTACTTAAGTTGTATATGAAAAGTCATAAGAATTTAAGTAGAAATAAAAATAGTAATTAATAGAAAAACAATAAAGATAAAATTTATTTAAAGAATTACTTACTTTTTTAAATATTTAAAATTTTACATAAATTTGTTTATAAATTAGTCGTAATGTTTTAGATCATAGAAAAAGTGAATTTTTACAAAATATTTCTGCAAAGAAAATTTAACATTATTTTAGAAAAAAATACATTCTAGTTAAAATAATGAATTAATTAAATGCAACTGCCAGAAAAATTCTAACATCTTTCATAGTTAGATATAAAATTTAACTTAGAATAAAAAGAAAATAATAAAGAATCAGAAAACTTCATATATTTTAACTTAGAAATTAAGTTAGATTAAAAGTAATCATAGGATTGGCAAGTATTAATAAGGCTGCAATAGTTACATAATAATTTTGTTCTTGGTTTAATAATAGTATTTCAATCTAATTGAGTGTACTTAATTATTATTGGGATGAACATCTATTAAAATAATTTAAATGTGTTAATCTTAATTAAGAAAAGGAAGAATTAAAAGCTTGTCAATCTCATTTTACTAAATTTATTTAAGATGAATTTTCATATTTAACTAATTAATTGTTAAATTAAGATTAAATTTCAAAGTTATTGTATAAATTTTATTAAAATTAGAAAATTCCCAAAACACATTCTACTTAATGGTCGAATGTTACGAGATTATATAAGTAAACAAATTGCCATAAAATAAGAAAATGAAAGAAAATAAAAAAAATAATTTAAACCATTAAATTAGATTTTATAAAATTAGGTTTTACTACCTTATACTAGATATATTGAAAAAATTTAATTGCCTAATTAATATAGGATTAAATTAAATTTCTCATAAATTTAATAACTAAATCTTATGGAAGAATTAACGTTATTGGAATGTAAATTAAAAAAAGATGTTCTATTCTCTCATTTATTAAAAGAAAGAAGAAAGTATGTTTTACAAATGTAAAAGGTATTTTTTTTAATTTATAATTAGTTCTTTTCTGATTTATTAGAATTTAAAGAGAAGAATAAGGCTCTAATTGGATCTGCAAGGATTAAAACCTTTTCTAAATTGACACCTTAAGAAATTTAATATTTAAAAGAATTAGATTTATAAGAGAAATAAATATATTTATAAAAATAATAAAATGCTAGATAAAAATGTAAAATTATATTTAATATAGAAAAAACTTCAAAGTTCATTCTAAAATATAAATAAAGTTTAATTTAATAAATTAATTAACTAAATGAAGATCAATTTCCTTATCCAGGATTAACTTTTAAAGTTGTAGAATAATTAATGAGATCTTCAAGACCTATTTTTGATATTAATTTAGATGTGGAATAATGGAATGAATTATTTTAGGAATATTTTAATGAATTTAGAGCAAGATCAGAAAAAATTATAAGTTCATCAATAAGATTAACTACTCTTAAAATAAAATAGGAAAGTCCTCATAAAAAAAGATCATAAATTACTTGATCAATAATTCTACTAATATTCAAATCTAATATTATTTATAATTATCTTATAATATCTTTTAAAATACATCTAATAAAGAAAGTCTTTTTTTATTATCTGTATGAATAATAAAGCTAATTAAATTTCGTTATTTATTTAATTAATTTAGAATTTTTAATCAATTCAAAATTCATTATTTATAAATTGATGAAAAACATTGATGATGTAGATTCTCGGATTCATTAATATATGGAAAAAAGAAAATCATAGTAATTTAGTTCATTTGATCAATCTACAATTCTATTTTAAGATAAAGCTGGTCTATTGAATGAATTAGAAACTTTGAGATAAAAAAATGTCAGCTTAGAATAAGAGTTAAAAGAATTGCTTTAATCGTATGACGAAATTTAAAGAGAAGAATAAATCAAAAGATTAGAGTAAGAAAAGGCTGAGATTATATAAATTGAATTGGAATAATTAAAGTAATACTTAATTCAAATTATAGGTAAATGCATATTAAAATGAAAGATGAATATTAGTAGCAAGTGGATTTCCTTTAAAAATAATTGGATTTGGCTGAATAAGAGAAAATAAAATTGCTTATGGAAAATTAAAAATTAAAATCAAATTAATACAATGAATAAGAAACTTAAGATTTATACAATTAAGTATTTAAAGATGGTTAAGAAAATATTAAATTTAATAAACAAATTGATAAATTTCAGAAAGAAATATTAAAGTTGAAAAATATAGTTGAAACCAAAATTGTTAAAAAGCAATAAGGAAAACAAAAGTAGACAACTAAACAAAATGAAAGAAAAACAAAAACTTGATTTTATTATATGTTAGCTTTATTATTACTCGTTTCTTAATTTAATTTTATTAAAAATAAATATTCGTATTATCTATCCTATTTATTACCTTAAAATTTATAATTCGGCTATCCTTTTCTTATAAATAAATAAATAAGAAATGTGTGTTTTAGTAATCAGTAATATGTTTATTATATAAATATATATAAAATTTTATTCTTTATTTCCAAATAATGAGAAATGCAAAAAGTAGAGTTGGATTAGTTTTATACTTTAGATAATATTTGAATTTCACATAGTTTAGGTTTTTGATTATATTTTCACATTTGAAAACAATTAATAAATTCTATAGGTTTTTAGTTTATTTGCTTAAAAGATTTTAATGAACAAAAATTATTTAATATAAATTTTATTTTTGTTATAAATGTTTGAATGATGTAATTAATAATCAAGAATTTATGATTATATTACAGTGATGCAATATTTGTTGAATTTAATATTTATGATCTTAATTTATTTTATATTAATCAATTAATAAAGAAATGAATAATTATGAAATTGGCATACAAAGATTTATTGAAAAAATAAGAGAACAAATAAGATTAAAAGAAAAAGAATATTTATAAATTGAAAAGGCACTTATTCACAAAATTGTTCATAAATCACCATAACCAGCAAGGACACTTGATTTAAGACCTAATTACTTTTTAGATGTTTCAATTAAACCAAAGCATGTTAAACCTAAATCGAACCCAAATAATTTAAAAACTTTCGATGAAATGGAACCAGATGTTTTACCTTATTTATTATAACCTTTACAAACTTAAAATCACAAGATTAATAAACGAATTTCCCTTAAAATTCCAACAACAGTATCAGAATAATCAAAAAAACAAGAAAAAATTGAAAATCTGCACCTTCGATAATTTTATAGAAATTGTACTCCTAAAAAATGGACTGTTGAGAGTTCAGATGAGATTTAAATTTGATTGATTTGTGTATATAGTATATACTTAATGAAATCTTTAACATAATTGCGTAAATCATAATTTCAGTTTGATTAGTATTTCTTATTAGAATCAAATACATAATCTTAGTATCGTAATTTAATTATTATCTTAAAGTATTAAATAATACTAAATTATAGATTGTAAATTATCATTTATTTTTTTAAAAAACCATCATATTAAGTTAAAATTGTTATCAATATTTACTTCTATACTTAAGATCATACTCAAAAATCGAATTAAACAGTAGCTATTATTTATCAGTTAAAATGAGAAATTATTTTAATAGAAATCAATTTATTTAAAAATATTAATTAATATATTCCATTATTGTTTAATTATTTAAATCGGCATTCAATTTTCGAATTAAAATTGATAATAAAAATATATTTGATATTTATAAACAAATCCAATATGAATTGAATTATCCAATATAGAAAAATTAAAAATATATATATAAGTGAATAATTAAAAATTGAAAATTAAATAGTATCAATTAAATTTAATAATATTATTAATATGTGTGATTCTTAATTATTCAATTTTAATAGTCCACTTGTCTTAAATAAATAAAGAAGAATAATCAATTTACTTCCTAATGAAATAGATATAGAGTAAATTTTGAAGAATTATAGAATAAATAATAAAATTGAACAAGAGATTGTTTAAAAATAATAACCATAAAAAAATATGAAAAATCCAGCCAATTTGATGAGAATGAAGAGAGTAATATTAAATTAATTCAACAGACCTAATTCAAATAAAAATAATCAATAGAAATGTAGAGAAAATTTTTAGGAATAGTTTCCATATTTCCTACGAATTCAACATTATAAAATTACTACTCAACCAAATTCACTCAATTTTATGAAATTAATTTCAAGAGATCGTCTTCATTCATTAGACAGACATTCACAAAAAAATAAATCTATTGATTTCAGTAATATTAAAACCAGAAAAATGAGTATTTAGTAATATGAAATCACAGCATGGACTAGAAAGACTTCTGAAAGTCTTTGAAAAAGAAAAATTGTTGTATATAGTAATTGTATATTGTTGTAAAAAAATTAATTCAATTTATTATACTTTATTCTTAATCAATTTTCACTTCATATTAGAAGCATTTTGAATGACTTTTAAATTGTGTATTATAATATTTTAATATGGATTCGATACTAAGAATACATTAGAATTAGAACATTCAATTTTATAATTATGATTATGTTGCATATTTTAAAATTTATTAGTGTTAAAATAATTGTGATATTATTAGATATAAGTTATTGCAACAGCAAAAAACCTTTTAATTAATAACATTATGATTGAAATGTTTCATTTAAACAATTTTATCTAATATTTTAAGAGATTTCTTTTATTCATTCATAGATCAATACAGAATCAAATATTTTCCATAATTTTATTATTATATTTTAGAAATTATTTCGAAAATTAATTACATTATTTTAGCTTATTTAAAGAAAAAACTTGAATAATACTTCAAAATAAGCCTTGAATATATAGAAATTATTCGTCAATTTATAATATAGAATCTGACAAAATCCATTCTAATTACATTTAAATAACATAAAATATATTATATATATATCATTATTGATCAGATTATTTTATAATATATGATCTTTATTAATTATATTATTATATTAAAATAATAATAAAGATCATTCACTTTATAATGAACAACAAACTTTAAAATAAGGGAGGCTATTATGTCTTAGAAAAAGCTTAAAAAAAATAAACTAAGTAAACAAAGTAACCAAAACAAACCTAAACTTAAAAAAAAACATTTAAACCTTTTGAAGGAAAAGGAATAAAAATGGGTAATGATTAAAACCACTATAATTGGATTTGCCAATAATGTGGATTTATTAATCAAGAAAAGATCGATATTTGCTGCAAGAACTGTCAATTTTAGAAATGAATTTCTATATAATTTGTTACAGAATATAATTTAACATTAACTATCAACAATCTTACATATTATTGAGTAACAATATAGATGAAGAAATCTAAGTATTATTTTAGATAATTTATTGAATTTTCAATTAAATGAAATTTGGATATATGGATTTCATAAGTTAGACTATATATCAGTTCCATCTTTTAAAAAAAGCAAAATCTAATGTATTCTTCTATAGATTGATAAACAAAAAATTTACAAATTTTATTACAATTTCAAAAATGTAGGCAGGAGTAAAAAAATAAATTATTTGTTCATTTAATGTTTATACTGAATTGCTAAAGATAATTGATTATTATTGCAATGGAATGAGACACTTAATTATATGGTTGGTCAATACTCTATGATCATATGTTTAAATTTATAATCTTTAATAGAAAATATGTTCAATTATGAAAAAATACACTATTAATATTAGTTTAATATGATTCATTTTTATTTACAGGCAATTGTAGAAATAATATCAATTTAAGAAATACTATCTAATCAATAGTATATTATATATTAACTGAAAATGATTATGCAATTTAGATCTAATAATAATAAGCAAATCAATATAAAAAACTTCAATTAAATTATTAATAATAATAATCTCTGTATTTTGATCATTATTATTATGAATATGTTAAATTAACCTTGAAAAAAGTAGAAATATATTAAAAAGATCTTATATTACGAAATAATCAATAATTAAAACAGGTCTCATACAAAAATTTCATATTAATATTGAAAAAATGACTTTATATTATTTCATATATTAAAAATGTTGAAGTTTATTCTTACTTGTTTTGAATGAAGAAATCCTAAATAACCTAATAATGAACATAGTTTGGAATGGAATTTTATTTGAGACTTTATTTATGTAAATGAGTAATTCTTTTAAACAAATAAAATATTGATAGTAGTAATAGAATAAATTTTTACTTATTTAATAAATAAATCAAATGATGAATCTTTAATACTTTTTGTTGATAATAGATGCTTTGAATTACTTATTATATTCTATATTGAAGAAAGTAAAATAATTAATTCAATAAACACATTTTATTTAGTTATAGTCATATATATATTTCATATTATCAATTAATAAATGATAATGAACTTTGTATATTTGAATAATACATTAATGATGTGATATTTTAATATACATTTATGAAGAACTAATAAACTTGATTAATTGATGTAATGTCATATATAGTGCAAATTATTCAATTTAATTAGTGTCTACATACAGGGCATTCTCCTTTCTATTTCAACCATTAATCAATACACTTTGCATGAAACTAATGAAAACATTCCAATATTCTATTGTTTTATTAATATAACTGTTTACTTGACATTATCAGATTTTTTAAAATCAATCATGCAAACAACACAATTTAAATTTTTCTAGTTAGGTATATATTTTTATGTTGGTATCTATTTAATTTCACTCGATCTCATGGGTTATGCTTATCTTCTTTCCTCAACTTCAGGCTCTTAATCTTAATAAAATTAATTTTCCTAATAATTTTCATCTTCATCATCATCGTCATCATCACCATAATAGAATTATACATTAGGCATATTAAAAACTTATTAGACTTGAATTCCTGGCCCTATATTTCTTATTTAAATATGTTATCTCTAACCTCCATTAGTTTGTAGATTAAATTAAAATGAATCAGAACCAAAATTTAAACTAGAATAATTGATTATTTATACTTAATATTGAATGCCTCATTCATTTAATGTCTCATATTGTCCATTGATCTCTGAAATTAAGAATTTGGCCCAAAAATTTCTATACTTTTTAAATTGAATTACAATTAAAATTTGGAAATTGAACCATTCCATCTTAATCACTATCAGAACTATCTTGACTGTATTGGATATTATAATTTCTATTATGATTATGAGAATTATTTATTCTTTATTAAGGCTATCTTTATTGCTAATAATATTATTGCCTTGATTATTATTATTGTTATTGCTATGTTCTTCTCTCTCTTTATTACATTAAACATTGTGTTTAATGTGCAACCTTGACTAGATTTATTTAGTACCAATCGATCTGCTTGGACTGACTTATGGCAAATTTAGCAATTTTAACGTGAATGTCTTTATTACTATTATCTATTCATCAAAATAAACTATTTAAATTATAGAAGAGTATGAATTGTTCTAGATTTAAATCATTAATTAAATTTCATGACAACCATTTCAATCAAAATCAAGCATGGAGCAGATCAAATTGAAGTTATAGAAATAGACCCTAATGCCACAGTGAAAGAATTAAAGGAGAAACTCACACCTAAATTTAATTCAGAGCCTTCTTAAATGAAGATTATTTTTTAAGGTAAAATTCTTAAAGACGTTGACGTCCTCACAAATGTCAATGTAAAGGCTGATTCTACCATGCATCTAGTTGTTACAAAATGTATTTAAATAAACTAAATTAGAACAAAACTAATAACCACCCTAATAAGCTCCAGGTCAATAATAATAATAACCATAATAACCCCTTGGAGGATAATAAGGTGGACTTCCAGGTTTAGGAGGATTAGGAGGAGCAGGTGGCATGGGAGGTATGGGAGGCCTTGGTGGAATGGGAGGCTTCGGTGGAATGGGAGGACTCGGAGGAATGGGTGGACTCGGAGGAATGGGTGGTATGGGAATGGATCCATAAATGATGATGTAACTCCTCTAAAGCCCAATGTACCAAGCATAAATGTAATAAGTATTTAACTTTTTCTAAATATTTTAGATGATGTAAAATCCACAAATAAGATAACAAATAATGCAACATCCTATGATTGCTTAAATGATTTAAGCAAATCCATAACTTTAATAAATATTTGATAATCCTTAACTATTTTAAATGATGATGAATCCATAAGCAATTTAGATGGCCTTATAAGGAATGGGCGGAATGGGTGGAATGGGAGGACTTGGAGGCCTCGGAGGAATGGGCGGAATGGGAGGCCTTGGTGGTATGGGAGGCTTAGGTGGAGTTGGAGATTAACCTAATCCACCAAATCCTAATACTGCTTAAGTACCCCCTCCAACTAATTAAAATGCTTAAAATCCCCTTGGCGGTCTTGATTTATAAGGTTTAATGAATATGATGGGAGGTATGATTATTGAATTAAATCAAATTAGGAGGTGTTGGAGGAGCTGGAGGCCTTGGTGGTGCCCCATTAACACATGAAGCTGCAGAGTAGAAATATGCTACTTAATTATAATAATTGCAAGAATTAGGATTTACTAATAAATAAGTGAATTTGGAGGCCTTGATTGCTACTGGAGGAAATGTTGAGGCAGCAGTTGATAGAATCTTAAATATGATCGGACCATGATATAATATTAGATTATATTCATTATGAAATTTATATTAAATATATTTTAAATAAAAATGATTGATGGAGATGAATAGAAGAAAATGGAAAATGAAGGATCATATGGATATTTTACAATTTTGGCTGTTAAGTTTACATCGTCTGAACAATAAATAGATAGGTTGACATTGATATTAACTTAAGAAATTATAACACTCTAATAAAGTTTTACACTGACAAAGAATATCAACAGGGAGATAGTTAGGAAAATCTGAATAAAACTAATGAAGCTTATAAAATAATCAAGGACGAGAAGGTAAATTGAATTATTAATATATAATAGGCTAGAGAATCCTATATGCATAAATTGATGATTAGATGTTATTTAAGTCAACCTTTTGATTTAATCTTACCAAACAAATAAAGTATAATTACTCATTTGATTAGGTGATAAATTGTGGCCTTTTTTTATTTTTGAAGTTATTAAAGAAGGAAAATCAACTAGTGAAATTATGTAATTCAATTTTTCGGCCCAAACCTTAACAGAATAAAAGAAGGATGTAAGAACAAAAAGTTATATGTTTTCTAACATTTCTGTATAAAAGTTATTAATTATTTTAAGTCAGCCTTGTATTCTAAAAAAGATGATGAATTCATAATTAATTTTATTGAGAATGGGAAAATACTTTCTTAAAATTATAAAGCTAAATTTCAAAATCAAAGAGATTAACTTGTTAAATTAGCTATTTTTGCCAAAGAAATATTTGAAGAAACAAAACCTACTCTTGAATTTCATAATCCAAATACAAAATAGGATTTGAATTTATTTAAAGTACAACATTATTCAATTGGTGAAAATAGTAAAACTGTAAGTTCAAAAGTAACCAACTTATTTTTTGATTAAGTATCAACAAAAAATTATTTCTTATGGAATGATTCATATATTCCTCCACATTCCTTACTAAAAACATCTGCTTCAAAATTAGCAAGTTTAGGATAATCCAAAACAGTTCATTTCACTATTGGAAAATCATAAATGCTTGTATCGAGAGATGAAGATTTACGATAGATTATTTAAGTGATCCCTTTAAAAAAAGAATATTTGGCATTCAGTAGAGATGAAAATGGTATATAGTATTTGAATTTCATATAGTTGTCTAATTATAAGTGTTGAATAATACTAGAAAATATAGATTCCATGACAAACAAGGTGCTAGTTAATTTGTTTAAAAACTTATTAGTGTATAAAATCAAAAGGCTTCTGCCACTCCTTTAATGACTGAATATCCATTTGGATAGCATTTGTAGAATATTGTAAGAAGCAAAAAGTCTGCAATTCAAAAATTAAATTCTTAAATTGCTTAATATGAATAAAAAGTTTAACAATTAAAAGTTTAAAGGTAATAATCATATTATTATTATTATAGATAATAACTATTATCAGATTTTAATGATTTAGATTTAGATAAAGTTGATGATGATGAATTAATGATAAATAAAGAGAAGGAATAATAGAATAAGTAATCTTCTTTTGAACCAGCAAGTTTATTTAAGGCTCCTGTTAAATTTAAAGATGAATGAATGATAATAAATTTATAATTATATAACTATAAATTAAAATGCCATCTTAAATCGATGTCTTTTAATTAACACATACATCAACAGATGATGAAATTTAATTATGTGTAGAATGGATTAAGGCTTAATTGAAAGCAAAATAGACAGTTACATTGTTAGTTAAGAAATGTTAGAGACAAGAATTAATACCATAAGTAACTGTAGATATAGTGACTATGATTTAATAAAAAATTAAGTAATTAAGTCAAGATCCATAAACTCGTTTGAGTGAAGTTTAAGAATTACTATAAATTTATAACTAGAAAGGAGTTAAGAATCAAACTATTTTGATTTAATTATATGTAAAAGATTGTAATTAAATTTAGATTGAACTTGCAAATGCCAAATAACCTGATGCATAAGATAAAGCTATTGAATTATTATGTAAAGTAGATGAGAAAATAAGAAAATAATTTACATCATAATTTTCTTAATTTTTAAAAGAAAAAATTAAATAACTTATAGAAAATGGACAATAGGAAGCAAATCAATAAAATTTTAAGGAAGCTTTGGCATTGTATTAGAAAGCTTAAGAATTAAATAATTATTATGAAGAAAAAGATACAACTATATAGTTAAATGTAAAAATTTAATGAAATCTAGATACAATTAGGAAATGCCTATCATTCTTTAAAATAATATGATGATGCTTTAAATGTATGGGAAAAGTCTATTAAATATATATAAAGTTAATCATAATAATAATAGTTCTAAAATGAATTAATTTACATGTATAATACTGTTGGATAAATTTATTATGACAAAAAATAAAATAATAAAGCAACTTAATATTGGGATTCAGCAATAAGTATATTAGAATAACAAAATGAATAAGAGAAATTGGAATAATAATCAAAATAGTTATTAGGACATTTATTAAATAATGTAGGGATGATATACTATTAAAAAGGAGAAGTAAAGAAAGCTATTTCAAATTTTTAAAAAACTATAGAAGTTTATGAGAGTATTTATGGGAAAGGTCATATAAGTGTTGGAAATCGTTTAAATAATTTAGGCGAAGCATATAGAAGTGATAAACAATATGATAAAGCATTGGAGATGTTCAATAAAGCATTAAGTATAAAGAAAGCCGAACTTTAAGTACAACCTTCAAAGAGTTTAGCTAGTACTATAAATAATATAGGTATGACTTTACAAAATAAATAATCATATGATGAAGCAATTGATTATTTCAAATAAGCCTTATAAATGTATAATGAGCCAGGTGTTTTTAGTGATCCTAATGCTGGAGATGCTGCTTTATAAAAAAGTAATACAATGCATAGTATTGCTGAATGTTATAGAGCATTACATAATTTGGATTTATGTATCTAATATTTTAGAGATGCATATAAATACAAAGCATAAGAATTGAAAATATTCCATAAATCAACACAGCATACAGCAATTTAATTGGCATCAGCATTATTTTAAAAAAACTAATTTGAAGAATCTTTGAAAATTTTTGAGGAAGTTTTGGATGGTTAGAAACAAGTCTATGGATAAGATTCTCAGATAGTAGCTTAGACAATCAATAATATAGGAACTGTTTTATCAGAATTAAAATAATATTAAAAGGCTTTGGAGAAAGTTTAAGAGGCAATTAGAATATTCGAAAAGAAATTAGATAAAAGTGATCCATATCTTTAAAAAGCATACGATAATATGAAAAATATAAAATAAAAATTACTGGAATGAAATTGTTAAATAAATTTAAATATAATCAAAATTAACCTACTATTTTCATAAACACATCTTCCAAATTAGTTTGGCTTATTCCCCAATCTAATAATAAAAATAAAGAATTACCAGAAATTTATAAATATTCTTTTTATTTTTCAATTTGCCAAAATATATCAGAAACCTTACAACTCTTTTCTGATATTTAATAAATCAAATTTCCATTAAATTCTGATAACATAATAGATTAAGGTAGAATATCTCTAATGAAATCTTTAACTTTATTAATATAGAATTATGATCTAAATAAATAATCAAAAAATACTATTATTAATTATGAATAGATTATAAATATTTGTCTCTATGAATTTAAACAGATAAATGATATCCACCTCCATAAATATTCTTTAATCTTTAAGGTGTTCCAAGACATTTAAGAACACCTTGACTCATGATCCCTATTAAAAATGATTATTTATCATACCTATTCTATTACATAAAACATCTGCTTCCTCCATTGAATGTGTTGTTAACACCATGGCCCTTCTTTCTCTACATTACTAAATGATTTCCCATAATTATCTTCGATTATCAGGATCTAAACCTGTAGATGGTTCATCTAAAAATACAATTAAAGGTTCTCCAACTAATGCAATAGCTATAGATAATCGTCTTTTCATTCCTCCTGAAAGTTATTAGGTTTAATAATTAAAATAAGGTTCTAATTTCACTTCAGCCATACTCTATTAAACTCTTACTCTCTCCAATTCTCTATGAACTCCTTTTAATCTTGCATAAAAGAGTAGATGTTCTTCTACTGTTAATTCAGGCCACAATAAATCAAATTAAGGGCAAACTCCAATTCTCATTTAAACTTCTTTCATTTATTATTTAATAGAATATCCACCTACAAATGCTGTTCCATCAGAACATCCATATAATCCTGTAATAGTTGATATTATAGATGTCTTTCCAGCTCCATTTGGACCTAATAAACCAAATATCTCTCCTTTTTCTACACATAAACTAAAACTCTTAACAGCTACTGTATTTTAATACATTTTTCTTATATCCTTACAAACTAATGGATAATCTTCAAGATTTTTTAATTTGTAAACTTTCTCTCTCTCTTACAGTACATCTTAATCTTCTTCTAATTAATTAACATTTAATCCTAATTGATCTTCTTCATAAAATTCTAAATATTCAGTTTTTTTGAAGAATTTGCAAATCCATGGTTCAGATGCAACACCATACTCTTAAGGTATAATTTCATGAAGATAAATTCCCATTATTGCATAAAAAACAGTATTATAATATAATGATAATAAACATCCTTATATTTCTGGACTTATTAGTTCTAATGATGTATAACATCCATGTTAAGATACACATGCTAATTGTAATAAATTAATAATATACCAAATGATAAAATATAGAACAATCGACCAAATGCTATCTATGGTACTATTTAAAGATACCAAGGTAATTCCAAAGGATCAGGATATATAGCCAAATTTATTGTCGATGCCATTATAGTACCCCATACAGAAATTAAATATCCTATGATAGTTGCTGTTCTTGATTTATTTAAGAATACTTAAAAGAAGAATGATAATGAAATTTATGTTAAACCCCATCCAATTAATATTAGTAACTAAATTTTTAAGAAATTTGTACAATTAAATTAGAATCTGTATATTTAAACACTTATATTTCAATTCCATACATGGCAACAAAATAAAACAATATATAAGTTACAAATGTAAGGATTGAACTAAATAAATATTATACTATCCAATAATCAACCATTCTCATCCCATTCATTTTCATCATTTATAATAATCTTTCTTCTTTATCTAATACTATTGAATAAAGAAACACTGGTAATAATAGGGACAAAGAGAGAGGAAATAATAGAGCACCCATTAAATTAATTGCTTTTTATACTAAATTTCTATCTTCTCCTATTAATGGCATATATTAGATTCCTGAAATCAACCAAATCTTTGGATTTAATTTATGTAAATAGGCTCTTGTAATTAAATCAATTAATCCAACCTAAGCTTCTGCTACTAACATCAAATTATTAGTTTTATTTTCTGCTACTTTAAAAAATACTTTAGTGATTCCATTAGCTCTATGATATTCTGGAATACGTAAATCATTCACTTAAATTGTAACATTTAAGTATTCTTCATTAGCATTATGAAATGTAAATGCTCCATCAGGTATCATCCAAATATCATCTAAATCTCTTCCTCTATAAAATGGTTATGTATTGAGATATTATATTCTTTAATAAATATCTTCATTTATAGATATTTCTGGTTATTCTAAAAATGGGATATTTCTCAATTCACTTTAGTTATTTGATTTACATCCTGGCCTTTAAAGAATATTTTACAAAAGTCCAGATGACCTAATAACATCATTTATTAATTAATATTACATATTTTTTCCAATTTATCCATTATTCCAACCAATAAAGTTTTATTCATTATGACTTAATTTGGAAACATCATAAAAATACCTAATTTCAACAATTTATTACCATTAAAGACAGGAAACATTGTTAAACATAGGTATTTGTGAATATATAAATGGAATATTCAATATATAAGGAAAATCTAATTAAAATGTCCATCCTGAAAATTTATCAAATATTATTTCTTATATTATATAAACAAGCACCAAACAGATTAATGGTGTCAAAATCTAACAAATATTAGTTCCTATTTATCTTGATTGAATTGAGGCATTCTTATAAAATAGAGCTCTAAATTGATAGCTCTTTTTCATAAAATTAATTATGACATAATCGATTAGTTATAATTCCATCATTTAATCATATTATATAAATTATAATGAATTAAGTTGATCAAAGTCAATAAAGTTAAGAGAGTTAATCAACTATGTTTTCATATGATCCTAAACTATTTTAGCTTTTATAAAAAGCCTTATTGCTTGTAACAAAATAAAAGTAATTTATCAAATATAATTTAGACCTCAAAATCCCATTAAATTTGTAGCAGATTATTTGAAACAAAATCGTGATGATGATTTCTGAATTGTCTTATTATTATTATATTCATTTTATATTAGAATTAATTTACAACAATCATTATTCAATTTAATATGATATTCATATAGCATTAATATTTAATAATAGAGAATTTAATACTATATTTATATATAGATTATATTTCTAAATGTTACATATAATTATATTTAATATTTATATTTATATATATTCATAAAATTGTACAATTAATGGTATTTTT